AAAAATTTATATGAAAAATATTGTTTGTTACGAGATTTTCTATAAGGTGAGCATAGTCTTAATCGAAAAAGCGGCAATCCTAGTACCAGGTCGTAGCGTAAAGCATTACCCAGAAATCATACAAGCCCTAGGGTCGAGGTTTTGTAAAAAATTCTCTTTTTAAGCGTTTTCGTGCCATTCTTAGTTAGAATTGTTAGTTTATACAGTAATATTAAGACATTATATCTTATTCTTGCTTTATTTTTATCGCTATTTTGTACAAAAATCAAACATTCGTAAGTGTAAACTGTATTAAAAATTATCACTTTTAAAGGCTCATTACTTGTAAACATTGATTTCAGCATGTTAGGTATTGTTTTTTGTTTTTTCTTGTTGCCATCAGACGTTGTTCAAGAAGTATAAAGCGTATTCGCCAAAATAGCAAGTTTACCCTCTTTATTGATATGGAAACGATATACATATGTATTTATTTAAAAAAAACTTCAAATTTATGGCATTTGTGGCTGCTTGGTTGAGAAATGGATCTACGTGTGATTTTTGTTAGCTATTAATAAACAATTTTAAACATCCGAATCAACCAAAGATTGTTTAACCCAGTGGTCGGCAAACTTATTAGCCAAAGAAACAAATATGAACATTACAATTTTTTTAAAAATTGGGAACCAAATCTGCTTGTTTAGTAAACTTTTATTACACTAAATAAGTAGTACACTAAATAAAACTACATTTCATACTTAGTAAATATTTATTAATGCGAACAATGTGCTTGCATCTCCTTGGAAAGTTTGATGATTCAAAGTTCTCATCAATAAGACGACTTCTCAGTTTACTCTTGATAATGTTCATGCTTAGAAAAGATTGTTTGGATTTAACCAGAAAAGGAAAGAACAGCAAACGCGACTTTTTCCAGCTGATCGTAATAATCAGAGAATAGTTTTGCTTTGAGAAAAGAATAATCTTTGGTCTGTACTTTGTACAATAACCAAAGATTATTACGTGTAACTGCTTACAAATTCATCACGTTGAAATGTTAATTTTTCTTCGAAACAGCATTCAACGCTCATTCACCAAAATAGCAAGTTTCACCTCTTTTTATTGATAGAAACTTGTTTATCTTAAAAAATGGCAAATGTATAGCGTAGCACTTGTAGCTGTTTTATCGATAAATTTATCTACTTGTGATTTTTTAGCTAGTAGTAAATATTTGTAAACGTCCTAATCAACCAAAGATTCAAAAATATAAAAGAAGCAAACAATGTAATGCAAGTAAAACTTCTACATCTAGATAATATAATAAACTTTTGCCATAAAAGAAATTAAATTTGCGTGCTAAAAAGCTAGTATAAAAAGCCAGTATAAAATTATGAAAAGAACTAAAGTTGAAAGTACTAAATTCCTCTGGGAGAACTTTACTTATTTTAGCAATTTTGTTTCTAGCTCCTGAAGATCACACTTTGACATTCATCCAACAGGAGTTACTTATACAGACAATGACAAAAATTAAAGATACTGTTTCAAGACTAGCAATAGAACACAGAGACTTGCACAGTTCTGTGTCCAAAGTTGGAAAATCTATTGACAGAAATTTCACGCCAGATTTTGCCGCCTGCAGCAGGGAGAATGTTTTTAACAATCCGGAAAAAATGGACATTATTAATAAAGTTATTTGCAAACACTACTACAGGTATAAACTTGGATTCGAGAAAAACAGCTTAGTCTAAACATTGATTTTATAGGCAAGGAATGCATGATGTAGCCGATGCATTGCTAAAGGAAGCACACGTAACTGTCGAAAGATATGAGAAGGAGCCATTCACAGAGGTGCATCACATTTGCGACAGTTTAAAAAACAAAGATCTTGAGCCATTGTTAGCATGGGCGACCGCACATCATGATTCACTTGAAGCTGAGAATTCGCCTCTCGAATTTATGACACACCGCTTAAAGTACATCGAGCTATTAAAACTGGGCGCCGGATTCCAGTCCGAAGCCATTGCCTATGCTAGAAATCATTTTAGAAACTTTGTTCAAAAGCACGAAAAGGGTAAATTAAATAAAAACAATCTGAGACAGCAGAATCAATATTATATATTTTTTAGATATACAAACCTTAATGGGCATGTTGCTATATGTACCCAACGGAATATCCCATTCGCCGTACGGCATCTACTTTTCTACGGATACTGAAATGTGGTTGGAAATATATGACTTATTTATAAAGAATGCTTGCCAGTTGTTAGGAGTTTCTGAAAACAGTCCACTGATTACTTGCATTAACGCAGGTTGTCAAGCTATTCCCGCTCTCTTAAACATCAAACAAGTAATGATGCAAAGACAAGTCAGTCAAATATGGAAGGGTGCTGAAGAACTACCAGTAAGTCACTAAGAAAGCGAGTAGAAGGTCGAAGGTCTACAAAAATAGTTGGGGGAACTGTTAGAATTATTTCCTTAAAGTGACTATTTTAGCGTTTCAGTTCATTATTTATTTCACTTTTTATTTGAGGAATTTCGTAGAAAAATCTAAATTTCTTTCTTTACTCCTTCCTTTGGCAGCAGAAGTACACACTGTTTGCGCTAAATTACCGGTCGTTGAGAACTTTAAGAAACAGCAACAAATTGTAAACATAAAGAGAAAATATGTCGCAAATAGTTATGCACCAGGACATAATTTAAATACATATAATTAGACATTAAATTTGAGAGGCATTAAAATCAACGAAATAATATTTTCCAAATCCAATTTAGCTGTGAAAAATTTATAGAAATGGTTAAAATTCCAATTTAGCTATGAAAACATTTTAGGAATGTTTAAAATCCAGATAATATAATACCTACTTAGGATAATGTAATCATCAATGAACTGTCTATTTTTTGTGTTTATCTTAAGCAATTTTATCTAGAAAACTAAAAGAACCTAATTTCAGAATTTCACGGTTTTTGTTGTCCAAAACACGATTTAATGTTTCGTAAATTTTCACAATTCACATAATATGCAGCCATTGATTTGATGACATTTAACAAAAAGTGTCCAATTTTTAGATTGAAATTGATTTGGGTTCTGATAGCAGATATCACTCCATGTTTGCCTGTCCCATTTTAAGACAACAATCCACGAAAAATAATCCTCCCATGCGCTTGATATGTGGTCATGTTATTTCAAAAGATGCTCTACAAAAGCTGGCAAACGGAAATAAGTAAGTATCGATAAAAGTTGTAGATCAGTAATGTTATTGTTCAAAGTTGTTCACCTTCAGTAGTTTAGTACAAAAAAAAACTATAATCAAAGAATTGGAAGTATTTTCACAATTTTCCTGTTACTTTTTGTAACAAATGCTTAAAAGTCTGAGAAATCTATCGCTAATGACATTCAGATATGCAGATTAAAATTGTAGTTTCGGGCAGGAGAAGGTATTGTGCCTAAATCGAGTTTGCCCATCTAGGCCAGGAGAATTACGATGAAATCTTTCAAATATGGCTTTAACGTGACGTGTGCATAACTAGTGCTATCAAAAAATGTGCACTTTTTAGGTCAAACTTAGAATAGAAAAATCCAAATTTGAAAATGTTTACTCGCTTAAAGCAGAAAAAATAACCCAATCACGCCATACATTTGGAGAAAAGTACTTAACTGGCAATACAAAACGAAAGCCGCATGGCTGATTAGGATCGGATGGACAGTTTTGCCATAATGCAATTGTTATGTAACCCACCGGGAAAAAAGACCTTTTTTTTTTTAATTTTATACCAGGCTCAAAATTATAAATATTTTTACCTCCGAGATTTTACACCTTGGACTCCTTACACAATCATATGCAGTTGCTATATTAACCATTTTTCAATTTTTTATATCTTTTTGAGGGGTTTTATAGCTAAAATACGGAGGTGCGCCAGCTTGAAAAGGAGTGCTATTTGCATAAACAACGAAAAAGTGGGAAAAATGCAAAAAATCGCGTTTTTCCCACTTTTCGTTGTTTTCACCTCGATATTCGTTCGAGCCATGCCAATCTGTAAACCTCCCGTCCTAAATCATTACTTGACTAAACCGAAAGCATTGATCAAGCTAAACAAAACAGCTAACTAAAACAAACATCTTTGCGTTTAGAGATGTAAAAATCAATTTCAAATGTTTAAATATTCTATCAATTTTCAGATTGAAATGTCCGTATTGCCCGATGGAGCAATCGCCGCAAGATGCCAGACAAGTATATTTTTAAAACATTTGAAAAGTTTAAAATGCATTAAACAGAGTTTTATATCAGTAAGTTTTAATGAAAGACTTAAGCTCAGTAATTTCCTAACATATTTTTGGCATTGCCCACCGATTTTTGTGGAATGAATTTATTTTAACCCTGCAGCAATACTTTGTTATATTAACTGTATATATTTTGAGAATCGTTAAGGCTGAAAAAGCTAACAGAAATTATGGTTATTGGAGAAAGAATTTTGTAGACACAATGTACTTGAATTATTTATATGATCTTCAGAATTTAACAATTGATTTGTAGTGATAGTGACTGTAGGCAGTTGAATGATTGGTTGAAAACTACAACTGCCTAAGACGGAAGTATTTAGTTGTTATATTCTAAGTATATATTTATCTATATTTGAAATTAAAGTAATTATGTGTAATAAAACTAGACATGCATACTTTTTACAGACTAGCTGTTTGGAAATAAATTTAAATGAAATAAATATGTTTCTAATTCGAGGACTTTTCAAATGTAATTGCCGAATTTTGTTTGTAGTTACGCGTTGATTGCCACTGAACGAGAAACGCTTTTCTAATGGTAATGTTCACAATGTATTAGCAATACACAACACTGTAGATTAAAGTAATATGATGAAGAGCAAATGAATGCAAGGTCCCATCTATATTTGTTAACAAGTCTAAAATCTATATATTGGCCTTGACATTAACGAAACTATACGATACTAAGAATTATTGAACAAAATTAAGCAAAACATGTTTGTGTTGTTCACGATAAAAGAGGCTAAAGATTAATTCCCACTAGATAAATTTTAAGCTAATTGAGACTGTTTCAGCAACTAGGACGCATTTGACCATTTGTTATTTTAGGCAAAGTGTAACTGAAAAATGAGAGCTGTTCTTACATTAGTGTTAATATTTTATTTGGCAACAAGTTGTATTTGTTATAATTCTGGTCAGTATGCACAGTACAACACTCGAAATGACCTGGATTGGTCTGCATACACTTACAGTATTGATGAAGGCAATTGCGACGGATCCAAGTTAGCTGATGAGGATGTTACCAAAGAGGCTGACGAACATACGTATAAAAAAACGACCGTAAGTGATAATTGTAACAGTTTTAATTGCGCAATTTTGCACAATTTTTATCATTGAAGAATTACAAGTAAAATCATACTTGAAATAATTATTTGAAAATTTGTATTTTGTAGTATACCTGGACTGGCAGAAACATGTTCTACTTAACATGTATAAGAGTTTTGAATCGTATGCCTCGAGATAGAAATGCTGGAGAAACTCGTATCACGGAAGGAGGTGTTGGACAAGGACAAGTTCGTATTGAAATGCGGTCACAAGACTCTCAAAAGCTGAATTTCCACGTTGAAATTTGGGGTAAACCAGTGAATTCCGCACCAAATATAGCTATTGTTCCGAGTAGAGCGGATAATGTATTATACATGAATGGAAAGAAGTACTGTGAATGCCGATAAGGCTATTTGCTATATCTCGGAATTTAGTTAGTAGCTTGTTAATACATGTATATATTATTACATTTTTAATTAGCATAATAATTTTGAAGAAGAAATTTGAAAATCCCAAAGTTTTTTTTTATGTAAAGTAATTTTACCCGAATGAGAAGGAAAGTATTCACATTCAAACCGTACAAGTTATGAAATGATTGCCTACTATCCATCAGAATCAATAATTGAAGTAGTGTTGATTTAATTCTAGAAAATAGTACGATTATTTCCTTAAACTAATTTTTATTTAGAAATATTTCACATTTCAAATGAGCACGAGCTTCACAGTATAGCTTAAAACTACATAAAGGTGTAAAATCTAAATAATGTAACAGTTTCATAAAATGTTAAGTGTAAACGATACCTAAAAAGTCAGAATTCTTGAATTATTTAAAAGTCTGCTTTGTTTTACAAAACTACTTTTATCCAATTCTTCCTACAATATGATCGTATTAAAGCTTGAGATAATATTCACAAGAGTTCACGTTCAAATACAGGGTAACATAAAATTTGATTATCGTGAATACGATAAATTAACTTAAGGTTTTTTTATTTTATTTCACTTGAAATTAATGATTGTCCATTTCCCATGTATGCATGGGGACATATAGAAAACTTCTTATTTTCAGTTTGATCAAAAATAAAGCAAAATGATAGTACATATATGTATAAGTAGGTAATAATAAAAAAACAATCGCTTGATTATAATCAGAACGAGTCACTTAAAATTAAAAATTGAATAAGCATGGAGCCAAAATTGGTAATGGTTAAAAAGAAGCAGAATGTAAACAACTGCCCCGTTAATCGAAGAAATATTTTGTTTTAAAACAAAATAATCTTTCCTAGTTTATGAAAAAAATTGAAAATTGACAATCGAAAGATCAATCAAAAGATTCAACGACAATCAAAAGACATGAACTTGTGGCACATGTCGCAAAAACTAACTATACACATATTTCTACTATCAGTTCTGTTATTAGAATTTACATCACAATGAAGGGAAATCACATTGAACAGAAATAGCCATCATAATAAATTCAATTAAAACATTTCAAAAACAAAGAATTCATTATTTTACATTGTCGAGATAGACTCGTTGATCCTTACGTTCTAGTGTATCACAGTATATATCTTTGAGGTGTATTCAACTGTGGCACTTGGTTTAAAACTAACACATTCATTGCAATATTACATTAGGCATATTCCTCGATCAAAAAAACATAATTTATTTCAAAGTACATTAAATTAAGATTGTCTTATAAATATCTTACTGTGACGTAAACACCCTCATGCATATTGTGAAAACAGATGCTTTTGGTAAATAAATAAAGTAATTTTGTTACTTGACCGAGCGAAAACAATTAAATTTTACAGGGTTTTATATACGCTTGTTCTGTGAAAGGAATTTATACAGGGTTGTAAAAAAAGAACTAACGCAAAGTAGGAGATAGATACTACCACAATATTCCGACTTCATACGTTGCATGATGTAAATGTATACCAACAAATTAACTTTAAATTTAATAATATCCACATTGATTATTAACGGACATGTTTGCAGAAAACAGAAAGACTTAAATTTACTTTTCAATTTAGATGAAAAAATGGTTATATTTCCCAGAGGCGATTAACTTGTATTACCCCGCATACAATCATGATCTCATTAAAAATATGTACATAATTAATGTTGCGTCCAGTAGATTTACCTTAACTGAAATTCATGGGCCATTTGATCAATAATGGTAACTGCTTTATACTCATCGAGGTTCTCCAGGAAATTTCGGATTTCCAGAATCTTCACATTATCTTTCTGAAAACGAAAAGGCAAACCGTGATTATCTTTTCATTTATTTTGTATGTTTTCAACGTTATTTTCGCACAGTTGCAAGTCAGGACGTATGACAATGACAAATCTTGACTACTCTGAAAGCCAAACATGTTTTCGCACACTTACCTCTATAGCATATTGAAGTAAATGTTTACTGATACTTCGCTCACTGGATATAACTCCCGCGTCAAGTAAATGTGTCAAGTCTAGCAAATCTGCCAAATGAGCATACTTTCCACTATCATCCAGAATGGCAGAAACCTCGTCAAGACATTTGGGAGTGAAATTTGTTATGTTTGTGTAAAGCAACTCCGGGTTATCTATAGGTTCAATTACTTCATGCTTCAATTCTATTTCCTGCAAATTGATTTCCATTAATTGCGTAATTTTATAGTGAGTATGGTATGGACACGTAATTCCATAAAATTTCTGAAATAGCGTCTGCACTTTTTTTGGTAAAATGGATTAATGACCAAATAACGGTCCTACAATTTTTTCCTTATTCTGCCTATCTATAACGAATTTACGTTAATGGTGTTGTGATTTAGTGTGAATTTCGCTTTGCTTGTTTCTCAATTATTGAAAATAAAGTGGATACTGTATGGTGCCACTGTGCAAAAGTACCACGATGTCCACACCAGGAACAACATTTATAAGTGCCATTAAACGAAAAGAACCGGAAATTGTGGTTGAAAGCAGCTCGGCGGAACTACACAGATGTAATCGTTTTGTTATGTGCAATTTTGGTTTATATTATTTCATAGCTTGAAAAGGACATGGAAAATGATAGGACGGAAAAGACTGGAAAAAAATGCTGTTCCACATAAATTTGAGTGCCAAAAAAATAGAAAACGAACTATTGACCCTCCTGTATACCTATTCTTGACGACTAAGGAGTAGGTCAGCCGAGCGAAGTGAGCAGGGTTTTATGACAGTCGGCTGAAACGGTACTCTTAAAAAAAGTTGAGAGGGAGTCGTTCCCCAGGTAGCGGAAATGATCGACTGGTACGACCCAGTAGAAAAGGCTTCGAGGAATTCGATAATATTTGCGTAAACGACATGATAACTGAAGCGGCATTAATAAATCGACATTAATAACACGATCTACTGATGGCCTAATGTGCGACGTTTTGGCTCGTTTCCTCGTTATAGGTAGGTCTGTGGTGAAAATTTCAAAGAATTAACAGATAAAGTGCGGACAAAAAACTTTGAAAATCTCTAATCCTGCTAGAACAAACTGGAATTAAAATAAAGTCCTCTGAACCATTGGCCTGTAAGTATACAAGAATTTTATTGCTCGCACACTAGACCAACCGTTCAGTCGCGTTATAAGCGAGCGCTTCTTAGCATAGATAAAGACAAGTACATGATTCTTAGGTGTCTGTCTCTTTTATACCCAAAGGTTGGTACGAGGTGGCTACAAGAGTAAATAAATTAGGCATTCCCTATCATTCAAAAATACTATTTTTTCCGCTGGGGATGGTGAGCAAAAAGTACTCCCTTCTCTCAAAGTCAAGAATAGACACACTGTACAAGCCGTAGTTTTGAAACGAATTAGACTAACATTATAAATGACGTTTTACATGCAGACATAGGTACCTTGGTGCCGTAACGTAAATTTCACCATCTGAAGACGAGAAGTTGTACGAACAAGAACAAACAGAGGATGTTACAAGAACAGAACACTTTGCTGGTTGTGGTATATCAGTAGTCTTACAAGTAAATTTAAGACCTAAGTAATCTCAATGCAACGTTTGTACAGCTACAGTTTATCAAAGTTGATCACCTATGAATTGGTGCTCAACTACTAGTATTGCATTATCTCCAATAAAATTAGAAGCGGATACGAAAAAGTTATACTACTCATCAGTCAAATTTAACAAGTGAAATATCAGCGAACATATCAGAATTTTCAGGTGGCATGTCAGAGTTGACTTTTATCAAGTTCAGGAAAAAGCTCAAAATTTATTGAAAATAATACCAATACAACGCACAAGCAATTTGCATTAAAGCACACTTTTCAAAATCCAAAACAATCTAAAATTATACCTGGAAATAAATAATGACATTATTTATAATTGAGTTACTTCGAGGTTACTGCAAAATTGGATTTTGCAAATATTTATTCAGTTTTTCAAAAACTTTGGCGGAACTAGGTGATTTTGGGATTTCCACAAGTACAGCGAGTAGAATTTTTGCAAAATCCCTTCCATTAATCAGCGAGGTGTTGAAGATTTTAATAGTCTGGATGCCACGTAATGTAATAAAGTTAAAAGACGTCTACAATTAAGTTTGTAGTAACTTGAAGTAACCCTTCAATCAATGGTGATCGGCAGATCGGAGCTGATCTGGTTCAGTTACTCGGACCTTTCAAAAGATCCATTGGATCGAAACTTGTAAATTTTACTAAACGGTGCTCGGGATTTCCACGGGCCATTCTGTGCGCGTTCCGTTCTCAATTGCGCATAGCATAAACAAAAGAGCATTTGATATTGGAAATTTATCAAATAACTAGAAAAACATATTTCAACTAACGGCAATTATTTCATGATCATTTGTTTCTTGGATTACCAAAAGGCCTGACTGTGTCAACTGGAAAATACTATGGAAGATTATTCAAAAGATTGGAGCGTCTAAACAACTAATTGCACTCCAGAAACCTTTACGAAAGCAAGATGGGCGAAGTAAGAATAGAGAACCGACACTTTTTTACCCTTTAAGACTTGTACAGGAGTTCTCCATCTAGAGTACATAATGATCAATGTATTGGATGGATGGAATTGAGGGATCTCAATTGCAGGCATAAAGATTACAAACCTGAGATATGCGGACGAAATCAAGTTGTTAGCAGCATGAGGACAGGAAATGTACTTTTGAACAGAGTTGAAACAGATAACGCGATAGCAACGTTTCCCTTGGGAGTATTTTCTCTAACAGTGCTGCCAATAAATACCCAAAAATCTCAAATCTACATGTTTTGGGTGTACTAAAAGTTAATCGTCCACACTGTGCTGTAACATTTATTTGATCTATTTTGGAAAAACCGACAAGGCATAGACTATCACGAACTTCCAGCGCGTGTACCGTTTACCAAGTCCACACTGGAGATTTGGATTTTTCGCGTCATGACTGTGGCACGAAATTAAAATAATGTTAATGGAAATGACTATAATTTCTAAATTAATTTCCTAATAATTTTCCAATATTTACTTTGTATTCCGTTGACCCGACTACAGGTTCCGGATCTTTGCGACGATATGAATCTTAAAAATAATTCTGATTTTCCAGAGGCTTTCCGTTAAAAAATCAAGCATTTAGTTTCAATCATAAAACAATATATATAGATATGTATATATTCATAAACTTACCTCTTCCATGTCTTCATCGTCCTCTTCTTCATCCTCAATTTCCTTTTTAACCTCTATTTGGATGCCCTTCGAAATCTATAAACAATTGAATTAAAGCCAAAATCAACTGGAATTAAACATATCGTCCCACTTACGGCAAATTTATTAATGATCTCCATCACTTCCTTGCTTGATGAATTCATGATGGCGAACTGAAATGGGGAGAGACCCTGGAAGTCAGTTTGCGCCCCAATATCTAACATGGGGTGCAGCAGGAGAAGTTGAATAGCTTCAACATACTGCATTTCAATAGCATGTCTAAGAGGTGTGAATCCGTTTTTATGGTGTTTTTTATTAACATCGGCCCCGAACAGACAAAGTGTTTTTATAGCCATTAAATTGCGAGTTTCAATAGCAAGATTCAGTGGAGTTCTTCCTTCTGCGAAGCAATAACCAATAGTTTACATATAAATTTGAACGCAATTATCACAAAGCAATTAATTACCGTAATCCTCTAAATCAATTAACTGGTTTAAAAATTTCTTCTTTAATAGCATTTCGAGCATTGACAATGAAGCTACTGATTTGATCGCCATATGCAACGCCGTCCTTCCATTATTGTCTTGAATCAATGGATTTGCTTTACATTGTAACAAATATTCAACAAATTCATCATTTCGACAGTGAGCCGCAATATGAAGTGGGGTAAGCCACTCAGAATTGGGTATGTTAGTTAGCTCAAACTTTCTCGATAGAACAAGCATTTTTAATAAAAATGTCACTTCTTCTTTCCGGTTTAATGCAACAAACACATGCAGAGCACTAAAATGAGAAATTTGAATTAATTGCTTATGGTAAGTATTTACTAACCTAATTGCAGATAAAAAAACAGATACAAAATATAGACATCCAACTAGTTACGAAATAAAGTAATATAAAATTAATCAAATTTTTCTTCATAATGTTTTTATTAATATAACTTACTTGCTTCTCCTAGTATTCAAATGGTCCCCTAAATGATATTGCAGCATTTCTGGCGCCCGTTCACGCGCATCTCTGGATTTGATAAAATTTTTCAGTTCTTGATAAGTTCTATTAGCTTTACTCAAATCTTCAGGAAGAACTTCCATTTTGATCACATCACAGCAGTTAGGAGACTGCATAATATCGCATACACTTTTGGAACTGGAAAATTTCTTAAGTAAATTTGTTTGCCAAAATGAGTATTGCTTAGTTAATTAGCGAGTCCTGCAACTTATACATAATAATACTGCATCGATGCATCCGTGTCCTCAACGATTGTAAATTTAATAGAATATTAAAATGTTTAACTTAATGCATTTAAATTAGTAACTTATAGCTTTACCGTAGTGCAAGAAAATTTGTAAGGTTGCAAAGTGTACACTGAAAATGTGTTTTTAATCATAATTACCTAATAGTCTTCGAATTTTTTGTTAGGCCACTGATGTACACATTTCTCAGACGATCTGAAATTGACGCCTGAGGGGAACAATCCACAGTATTTTGATCCACAGTATCAAATTCGTTCACTGCATATTCTTCAAATAATATACCGAATTCCGTTGAATTGATATCTCTTAACGCAATATCCATTTGCTCATCCGAAATAATGTCGGACTGGTTCCAACTATTTGTATTAGGGAGGGATATGGGGCGCTGGTTTTGGGCTTCACATTGGGCCAAATTGTGCGGAATAGTTGCTGGTAAATCTACGCTATTTAAGCTACAATCCGACTTATTAATGCCAGCCGCGAGAATATTAATGTTTGATAAATTTACCTGCTACTGTTGTATGTGGATGATGTTTCATATCCATTTGACCTGGGTCTTTTGGATCCAGGCCGAAATTCGTTACTTGGTATAAATCTGAATTCTTTCCATTCACTTTTAGCACTGTCTGAAGGTCTCACTAGTTCCATATAAACTTTCACAGGTTGAGTAATGTTTGGATTCCTATCGTACATTGGAGTCCTGGAAGTTAATTTACAATTGAATTAAATATTGCTGAAATACAGAAGGTAATACTCACTTAAATACAATAGCATACTGATGGTGAACATCTAATTCGGAGAATTTTCCCCATCCTTGCCACACTTCTTGTTCATCATCATTCAGTTCGAAGAACCGAATTTGAATATTTTCTGAAACAAAAATAATTATTAATTATCACCGTGCAAAAGTCCACCGGGAATTTAAAAACCATAAAAGCATGATAATCAACGAGCAAGCGTTGTTTTTGCTGCTTGCTTAAGAGGATTTTCGCACGGGCCACTCTGCAGCGCTTCTTAGTGGCGCTGCTGATAATCGCACGTTAACATTGTACCAGCCACTCTACAGCGCTTCTCGGTGGCACTGCTGAGAAGATCAAGAACCACTGAACGCCACAGAAGCGCTGCTAAATCGGTGGTCGCGCCCGTGTGAACAGCTCCATATAAATCAATGTATTTTCAAAACACGCTTCTCAGCAGCTCCACTGAGAAGCTCTGCAGAGTGGCCCGTGTGAAATGGCTCTAAGTGTGCTTTGCATTATGTTCAAATCGGAGATTTTGAAGATTGAAAATAAACACTGGAATACTGCAGAAAATTAATTCGATCAAACAAGTTTCTGTAATTTCTTGTAGAAAATTAATTAGTCTGCCTCTAAAAAAAATGGGCGTGTTGTTAAGCCTCAACTCGACCCCTTGACCGCCCTTTCTAATTGCAGATTCAATCTGTTCAAAAGCCATTGCTTCTGCTTCATATCTTTCCCATTCAATGTTGGCCTTTGCAACTAATGAATGCGATTAAACGAAAAAAATTACGAAGCACCTAACTACCCTCGATTTTAAGGCAAAATGCTCAGAGCACTTTTTCAAGCAGAACTATTTGTCTCGAAGTAATTTCTACTGCGATCGATCACTTACTTTTAGTAACTCGTTCAACCAAAAGAAAGATCTCCTGGCCACCCTTTGCAGGGCTCGTGCAATGATCCATCCGGACTATTCTTAAGTCCCCAGTGAGAGCGCATTCTAAATTAAAAATATAGTAGATAATTAGTATTAGATTGAAAATAGCACACAAGCACAACATGCATACTTCTACTGAAAAATACGAGCCCTAAAGCTAGAATTACAGTCGCCGTAACGTAAAACGTAAGCCATACGACGTAAGAGGTCAGAAAATAGATCAATGAATAGCATTACATGTGTTACAGACGATATATAGAATCAGACCATATATATACAGACTACACAAATACAGCAGACCGTATGCAAAAAGACATGTCATTTAATATACAGACTAGACCGTTTATATACGGACGATTGCTATGCAGGCCGTTTGTTCAAGGGCAATGACGTTTTATGTGATGTTTACATTTTCAATTGTTAACTGCAAAAATTGTGGTAAAAATGGTTTGTTCTTTGTTAAAGGCGACGCTAAATACGATATATTTCAGATATGAAATTACAAAAGTAAATCAGATGTAGTCATTAATAATATAAGCTCAAATTTAAAAATATAGGTTTTACGAACAACTGTATGACCCAACAAAATAGGTTGCCCAGAACAGCCGAGGTTTAAATAAAGGGTATCTAATGATCAGTGTGGACAGAACACATACGTGTGTTTCTCAGAATTTGTAGTATTTCACTAAGAAAGTGGTAGATCAATTTGCCTTTTTAACGTTGGTTTTAATTAGTTCGGTTTGTATCGTTTTGCTGTGTTTTTCTATAATTATTTATTTAATTGTTTTAATAACAACGTGTTTATAAAAAAAATCCCAGCGTGTCGGAACGTAAAACGCAAGCCATAAGTTCGGAAATCGTTGAATATCTTGCGTTATACAGGGTGATTCAAAATTGGCGTTATTCCTTTTAAGGGGTGATAAAGGCTCACCGTTTCGTATTACCTCTTACGTCTTACGGCTTGCGTTTTGCGTTACGGCGACTATAATTCCAATTGACTTCAAAATTGACGTCATTCCTCTGGAGGTAATGTCTGGCGGTGTTTTAGGGGTACAGAAAAAATAGTAAAAAAATTGTTATTCAAAACTGAGAAATTTGCAAAAACTATATTAGAAAGACGGCAACAATGTTTTTCATGGTAATCTGCCTAACTAAAATTACGTAAATATCTGTTGCTTCGTAATTATTAAAACTCCGGTAACCATGGAATTATACAGAAAGTGCCAATAAGATAAGAGACGAGGATAACGGTAAATTGAACGAGGATCGTTGAATGACGGAACCTAGTTCGAAATGTTAATTATTGCCCTCATAATCTCGAATTATTCATTTGTTTTCAAATTACAAAAACGTACATTTGAGTCTGCAACTCCAAACAAGTGCCTGTGTAATCAGCTTATTACGCATGGTATTCGGTTAATTAACACCTGCTCAATTTGTACCTGTGTTCAGTAAGCGATTGGTTGGTTGATAAATTTAGACAAGTTTAATTCCAAATATGGAACAATATTTTGGAATTAAAAATTGCATATTTCAACAGAATGCTGCGCTTTTCCACACATCTAAACCGACCAAAAAGTGGTTTGAAAATCATAATTTCAAATTTTATCTAAGTTCTCAAGCAGTCCGGACTTGAATGTTATAGAAACTGTATAGTTATTAGGGCTCGTATATTAGAAAGTAAACTTTTAAAAATCATACTTCAGTCCAGATTTAATCTATTTTGTTACCCAACTAGATTTTCTGCAATATTTTCCATAAGGCACAGAAAAACGGTATTTAACTTCAACTTACCATTACTAGGTAGAGCAGGAAGCTACAGGAACTTAATATAAAAGTACTTACTTAGGTTGTTTATGCCGTGACTGTATATGGGTGGACAAATAGGGTGGCGAATACCATTTTTTATAACAAATGCATCAAATCTGAGACGAACAATATTCAAATTAATGGATTTGCTCTCTTCTTGTGCCAATCCCTTAATCTGAAATGCGGGCAAACGTAAATGCAAACTGTAAACACACCCAGATATCTCACGGATGGAACATTGTTTCCTAGCACAAGAGATATCCACTTGTATTTAAAATTAAAAGCCATTATTCCTAGGAAGAAAGAAGACTGCTTTATACCTTCGCATTGTAAATGCTCTTGTTCGATTTCCTTCCGATATTGATCAGCCGGGCAAACTTTGAGAATCATATCTACTGAAAGGTTAAATATTGTTATTATTTACCAATAGAAATAATTAGACGGCTTTAAAGTTCTGAATTAAAGTAAAAATTGTTGTACGCAAAAATAACCGAAGGTTTGAGGTAATGGAACATATCGAATCTCCAGCACGTACCAAATTGATCGGCCCAACTAATAAATATGGAATTTTATGCAATTTTTTAATATAAGTGTACTGTAATAATTAACTTAAATGTCCGAGGATCTCTACTATGTTTTCAACAAAACGGCGCCCCTCATTATGTGCATCCAGTCAGACAATGATTGGATGATAATTATTCAAATAACGTCACTGGATTGGTTTCCTCTAAGAACACCTAAAATATGTTGTTTTTATAACTCAATTGAGCAATTACAGGAAATACTTATTCAAACATGTCGATCTATACAGGGTGATTTACGTAGACCGTGCATTACAAATTTTCCCACTTGCAGTTGTTTTAGAAAAGAGTTCATGAATTAATGGAATAAATGAAGTCGCCACATATTTTCTTCTTGTAAAGCCTATTTATTTCGAAAGTATATGTGATATAGTCACAGGTTAATTTGTCCCATGATAAATATTGGTTTGTATCTGCTACCATTCCCCAATTCCCTGCAAATCGTATGGTGTGTAGAACAGTTGTACACAATTTATCCTTTTCTGGACGCCTGTGTATATGTTATTTATATTACATTGGTTGGTAGCTAATAGATAAATTATATATTGATAGATACCATTGGTTCTAATTCCTTTATTAAAATGGAATGAAAAAAATACCTTTTATTTATATCTAGTCCCTAGTATTTACATGGTTCCCGCACTACTCGTTATGACGGGAAACTAAATTTGTAATTTCTAAAGCAACTGTAAATTGACAAACTTCTAATGTAAATTGACAGTCTTCGTAAATCACCCTATATAGAGAAGCTTTCGCGAATATTGTTCAGGAATTTGAAGGAATTCAATAATTAATACATTCAAGTCGTTTTATAAATTAAGTCGGTAACTACTTCGTCAAGAACAGGTTCACGTGATGCAATTTTGAAGAGGTTTAAAATGAGACGTTACAAGTAGTAAACTTTAAATTTAAAAACCACAAGTCCATTTAAAATTTTGGAGTTGGGCTGGTTAGGAGATAGAGAGTTGATCCAGGAAGTTTTCGAGAGTAGAAAGAGTTATAGAAACGGATCCGAAAATGTTTTCTATAAAGTTTTATTCAGATATGGGCAGCTATTGCAAGTTTTCAAGTTGTCAGTCTGTATGAATATTTATATATAAAATAACAGTAATTGTATAATTAATCAAGTAATTTCTAGTTGATATTTGATACCTTATTTGTCCTTGCCGTGATCTCTGAGGAGATTCCTAATCTTTTAGGGCTATTCAACGAAACCGCACAATACTCAGCCACCGCCTTGTTTCCTCACCAGAGATAAACAAACTACTACAGGCACGGCTGACATTGCAAATATTAAGTGTTTTATCTCAGAAATGCGCCTGTTTTGAATATACCCCAGCATTATCAATCAGCAACATAATTTTATTAAAATTATATAGCAGATCTTTGATATCTTGCACACATACAAATGCTTGGAATGATGGAAATTTTATGACAAGTTTTCCAGATTAAGATAAATAATTTGAAAAAAACTCCAAGACTGCAAAAGTTGTTTAATGTGAACTTTTTTCAACTGTTTGTATGTTTTGTTTAGATTGGATATTTGTCTAAAAATGTATAATAAAGTAGTACAAACAGATAGGTGTTTGTTTTTTCAGAATGCGAGCTACGTCTGTGTTTGTCTTTGAGCTCTGAAAAAAATGTGGATGTCTATCCGTCAGGTTTTTCTTGAGGACCACATTGTGATGAATGTACATACTCTCCATAGGTAGTAAAAATACAGTTATTACATAATGCTCCCAATAACAAGTCGCCACGGGACATTCAACAAAAGTTACGTTACATAGACAGTAAGCCTAATATGAACAAATACTATACACTACCTATATCTCGATAAACAATGTCGCTTGCTGACTGAGAGATTTTGTAAATATTTATCTGTCTCTATATGCATTCGAAATTAATAAATCACTGGAACTAGACATTTGAAGATAAAACTTTTAATTCTCATGATTGGCTGTTGTTAACGAAAACACGAGTATTGAACTGGACACGTGTTACTACATTTAGGAAACTATATTTAATATTTTATTATTGTAAATTTGTTAAGTTTGGTCCTTTTTTATAACCAATTTATAAAAAAAATGGGTCATCTGCGTATTTGCCCACAATGAATGTACATTTCCATGATACGTTTATTACGTTTTTAGATGTTCCTAGGAACAAAAACAGTTCACAGTTCAAAGGTTCCCTACTTTTCACAGAAGAGCTTTGGAAAGTATAATGTTATGTTCATTGAAAACATGTGTGCAAGTAAAAAATCATCAAATTTACTTTTTTAACACTTACCGATTAATATCTAAAAGTAAGTTACTTCTGTAATATCACACTATTTAAATGAAAATAAACACAATTCAGAACGTTAATTCAAAGTAATTGCGTACGTTTGAGCAGCCAACACCATCATGCACGATACAAGATATCGCACTCCTGATAATGAACGAGACACAATGTAAAACAATCTGAAGGTAGATATACAATAGGTATAAATGGGTTTGATGAAACTAGGTATAATTCGAACTGAAATGGGGAACTTTGGAATAAGTAAGTGATTTGAACGCATTTCTGCTTAAGGGGAATTTTTTGAAATCCTTCCTTGTACTAATTTATAGAATCTATCGCTAACGACCACTACATGTGACTTTTTTAAACTGCCAATGGAAGTCAAACCGTGAAGCATTGTTACACAAACACTAAAAAGAGTCACAAACTTTATAAGTTTTGATAACAAAATAACGCGGTATTTTGTGCATAGGTATGTGCAACAATACTGCACAAAATATTATTTGTTTCAATAGAATTGTCACCAAAGACGGTCGTATCAGTTTCATCCTATTTTGATGTACTAAAATACGATATAAATGATTTAAAGTCTAGCTCCCGGGACACGAAATCAACTTAAAACTTATTAAAGCACTTTAGCACGTCTCATTACTTTGCAATTACCCCAATTTCTTGTATCATTTATGTAAAAGTTTGGGTCATTTGAAACACGTGTACGGAATTTTATAGTACCTCATTTATTCTAATTGCAAAACGCTCTTTTATTATTCTGAACGCTATTCAATGAACGAAACCCAAAATCAAAAAATCGAAGAAAGAGTATATAATGATTTTCATTATTACTATTCCGCTGTGCAATTTATTGTTTATTTAATTTTAAACACACAATCAAACGGCAGTAGATATGAGAATACATTAGGAAACTATCGAATAAAGACTATGGAATTATTCGATACTTGTCATTTATTCAAATTATTTGAAAGCGATGGAAACCTGCGAATTAAAACTATCGAATTATTAGTTTTAATTTTGATTTTTTTGGAAAAAGTTTATAGTAAATTGTATTCATTGTAATCTTTAACTTTTTTGTCAAAATTGACTTTCACTGCTTTCCAAAACCCTTATGGGAATATAACAACGCATGACTCCGAAATTCCGTTTTCTTTCGTCTTGGGAGATCGCGGGTGGTGTCTATTGGATTGCATAATTTTATGCTGATAAGATTTATAGGTATAAATCTCATCAGCGTGTGTAACATGTTACTATAGAATAGGCCGAACTTGTCGAAAGGTGACTTTGCCTGTTGGGTGACCTTACGTCTTACAGAAATTCCGATAACTCATAAATTATAAATTAACCTGCCTAAAATAAATCAACCTATTCACACTCGATCAGAAACAGATAAATTGTGTCGAACAGTTCTACACGCCATACGATTTGCAGGAAATTGGCTTTCGATCACTAAAATTCTATTTATATACGTTCTCATGTTATATTGGCACCGTGATAATAAACAGCTTAGGGTCAAACAGTACTCGATGCATTTTAAGTCGCTGCATTACATTTTTATGAATAAAGGAAAACAGTACAAAATTATTTCATACTAACTAGAAACCTGTATTTGCAAAAGAATATAAGTTTGCAATTCGTAACTGTCCTACACTGCATGAGATAGTGCGCACTAATCACTGAATGAATTCATCCGAATTATTTTATTCGATAAATGCAATCATTCATTTAGTAATAATTCGATAGTGCCCATCACTAGAATATATCTTTCATTTTTATAAAAAAAAATTTATCTTAAAAACGTCCACTTTTTTTGGAATAATGGCTTCTAAGTATACACAATATATCTATACAACGCGAATGAGAGAGCTAATAGAAAGAAACTTAAGATTGCTTATTTTTTTATTCAAACAAGAAAAAATTATGAATTCAAATTTCAAATGTTTCGAACATTTATGGATGAGATGTATCTGCAGTGTGATTAATTGGATTTTAATGTCTTTTGCTTGAAGATTACCGTCTACTAACTTGTAAAACAGCTAGTGGTGGTTAAATTAATTAAAATTTAATAACCGAAATGAGAAACATAAAAAAACGATAAAAATTTCGATCATTACATTAGATACGGAATACTTTAATTTCATCCCCGCAGATAGTCAATCCTCATGTTGCCAACGAAATGTAAAATATCGAAGTATAGGTAGTAAAGTTTAAATAATAAGGACTAGCCACTAATACTCATTCTTTAAATGTTTGCAATGTACAACAAAGAATAATTTTCCCGATTTTTAACATTTTTTTTGTATTTCTCTCTCTTTCGCATTGCACATATAAAGAGACACAGACAGTAAGGTAACAACTTACATCGGTCAATTCCTTCAGTGTTAATTCTCTGACTCTTCCCTCTCTAGAAGCGATAAGTTCTCGGTGTAGCAGCGATTTCTTCCTTACTAGTTCGCTGACTATATTTTTTCTGGCTGTATGAATTATGCCCATACTATGAAACCTACACAAAAAAAATATTACACACTTATAAAGTACATCAAAAAAAATGTTGAGAATCATCCTATATATGTAATACAAAAGGTATCAAAATAGGTTGATTAATATCAAGTTTAGTGACAAGATGGTTGGTTAAGCCGCGACTCGGATCTAAAGACTTGTAAAATTGGTCAGTATTTCGCAGCCTCTTAATATTTTACCTAAATTATACTAGCTGATATATTTCTGCTTATGTATTGACATTGGTTCTAAAGCATATAATTTGGAGATTTAAAGTACGTAAATCTATCGGTAGTAGGTACTTAAACCTCTAGCAAAAAGTTGTTTATCGGGATTTTATTACTCCGATAATTTTCAAGGCATATGAGCTTTATATGTTTCGGAACACTCAAGGGCGAACGCAACACTTGAAATTGAGGATCATTTCATCTGCTTTTCGAGAATGTTCAACACAACGTTAAAAATGGCCAATGACAAATTGGATTATTTTTCAAGTGGTATGAGTCACTGCGCACATCTCGATCTTAAATTTTACTATGTTATTAGTTACTGATTTTGTATATATGTATATGTAGTAGGACTTTCTGTTAGGGTTACAAGTAAGTATTGAAATTGATAGACTTACGTTGCCGTAAAACCTTCTTCGGGTCCAACTAGAATATCGTGAGGATCGTCCTCTTCGCTTCTGCCTTTTTTCATTATTAGCCGGTGGGGATGCGGTTTAAAGTCGTCCTCTATGTTGTATTGATATATGCAACATCTAACTGTGGCCTTTTCTGTACAATTAACCAACTAGAATATAAGGGCAACATTCAGAAGCAAGCAACTCATATTTTCAGAGGTTTTAAAGTCAAAATTATTTAGTGAAGGTTATCTTTTTACGCTTAGCATCGTATGCAAAATCAAGATATTTTGCATCCTAATTACCTAATTTCAAAAAAGTAGTTGCGCATTTTCGCTTGCGGAAAATGTTCCGAAAATCTTTCATTTTACCCACTGTTTATATAATTTCTTTGGATTAACAACTTTCCCTGGATTTGAAATCGTTTCAAAGCATTAGAACTTTTCCACAGTGCCAGACTTAGATATTCAGTACAAACGAACGTTAACATCTTGACTAACTTCCTCGCACATTCACATAGTAAACAAAGGAATATGACAAATTTAAAGTTTCAAGAAGGCAAAGACCTAAAAGAACGTTGATTTTTACCAATCATGAGTTTGTGTAAATTTTAAATCTGATGATGGCGCTGCTGTCTCGCCTTCAAATCTTCAAAATGTTTACTTCACACTTTGACCAAGACCCAGAAAAAATAAAAAAATCATAGTAAACAAAGTATCCAATTACCTCAACTGTAGGATAAGTTTGCTTTCTGGACCTATCCGAGTTCATGCCACACAGACTTCCGTGAGTTCCGGCCATTTCCGATTTGTACCGAAATCGAAATTTATTGGTGGGTTGTTCCAGAAATTTTAAATATGGTACTAGAAAGCAAAACTATGCATCATATGATCAACGTGTATTTGCGAAGATAATTTACCATTTGATGTGGGTGAGTCGTCCATATCCATCAATGAGGAATTAGTGGATACTATTTGTGCTTGAATGTAATGTTGGCTGCCTTCTGGAGACACAACTGAATAATGTTGAGAATTGGGCGAAGAAATTAAAAATATGGGTTGCGGCGAATCTCCACTACTCGAAGGTGGCGTCGGGTAAGTGGCCATATCTAGAATAGAAAAATAACCTACTAAGTAAAGATCAGTTATAGTCTATAGAATATGATCAAAGTTAACTTGCAAAGACATTTTTAATAAAAACAGTAAAACTCTTGTGTCTGTTCCAGTTGTTTCCAAATCATTCATGCTGGACTATCCAAACGTTTTATACATATAAAATACCTAACAAGTTTGAAGTTGGTTGGATTCGTATAAGATCAGAAGTATTAACAATAAACAGAAATTTGCCAAACTCAATGCAAATTCATTAATATCTTTAGAATAAATATAATTTAGCACTTGATTTTATTTACTGGACTGATTAGGAAAGCTAATCGAATCGCTAAAAAAATACAAAGTTCGATCAGACATCAGACACTCATCTCACATCAACAAACTACATTGATAGGAAATAATCTCGGCGAAATCGAGCTCAAGTTAATCAGAATAAGTACTTACCACCCTGAAAAATGTCTGTAAAATTGACTTTGTTTCAAATTTGTTGATGATGTTATGTACCGAGTGGTGCGACCGAAAGGGGTGAAAGATTATGGCTTAGGGAACTAGTGTATACCTAATTTTGAAATGATTTTAATGCAATATTGGCATCAATAGTGGGCATCTTTAAAAATTATTTTCGTTGCACATAGTGTTCCTAAAAATCCAAGGCACATCAAACTTGTGTTTTTTAAATGGAATTTCTACGGTTAATATTTTGACTAAAATTTTGATATGACACTACCTACCATAAATTTCGCTCTACAAAAGCAGGATTCTGACCCAGGACCGATAATATCTTAAAGGAGGAAACTGGAGATCTAATAACTGACACAGTAGAAATATTACAAACATGGAAAAACTACTTCCATCATCTCCTCAATAAGAACCTGGTGAAGAAGGGATCTGCTGAATCACTGGATCTGCTGACTGCGGAACCCAGTGAGATCCCTTCCAAAGAGGAAATTACAAAAGTAATAAAGAAATTAAAACATAATAAAGCCCCTGATGGATTTTCTTAAATATGGTATATCATAACATAACTACAAAACCTCAGTAAAACCATATGGGAAAAAGAAGCTATCCCTGATGACTGAAAGGAGAGTATCATGATACTGATCCACAAAAAAGGCGATAGAACGGTCTGCAAAAATTACAGTCAATGTAGCCTATAAAGTCCCATCGAACGTAATTCTTGTGATACTAATCTCCTTTACCAAAAAAATATTGGGAGACTACCAGTGCGGTTTCAGAGCAAATAGGTCAACAACGGACCAGCTGTTTACCATCAAGCAATTGCTAGAGAAGAGCTGAGAATTCAATCAAAACGTTCACCAGTTACTTATAGTTTTCCAGCACACATACCTACGACAGCGTAGAGTCAAAATATGGCATACAATGGGTGAGTTTGTCATGCCAACTAAGCTGGTCAGAGTAACCAGAGCTTGTGTTGAGGGTTCTAGGTCAGAGTAAAAATTGGTGCTGACTTCTCAGATGTGTTTCGGGTGAGCACAGGTCTTAAGCAGGGAGATGCACTATCACCCACGATTTTTAATATCGCACTAGAGAAGCCAAAATTGAAATTGAGCTATTCGGGGCCAGTGAATCCAACTTCCTGCTAGAATATGCCGGCGATATAGACGCGGTGAGCGCATAGGCGCCTTAAGAGTAAAAGAACTATTTTACAAAATCGAAAAAGAATGGCACATCGGGGGCTTAAAGTCAACGAGTCGGAAAACAAAATACATACATGTCTCAAGACCTGGCAGAGCTAGGATAGGAGAAAATGTGACCATGGACACATACAACTTTGAAAATGTAAACTAATTTAAATACTTAGGATCCACAATCATATCCGACAACGACATAAGTGAAGAAATCAGGGAACACCTAAAGTCAACCAGCAGGTGCTTATACCTAAAGGATATGATAGAGTCCCAAAACCTGACTAGATCGAAAATCAAAACGTGCCAGACCATGATAAGACCCGTGGTAATGTACGGCTGCGAAACCTGGACTCTTACGGTGCGAAATGAGGAACTCATTCGAAGATTCGCAAAAAAAGTGCTGAGGAAAAATTTTCGGACCCATCAAAAACCAGGACCGCGGAGCTACCGAATCAAAACAACTGCAGAACTAAAACAGATTTTCAACCAGCCAGAACTGATTAAACTCATCAAGGTTGAGATGGGCAGGGCACGTACGAAGACAGCCAGTGGATAGAATAGTCCGCTTAATATGGGGAAGAGTATCAAAAGGAAGACGACCACTTAGAAAACCGAAATTAAGGTGGCGTGACAAGCATAGACTCGGACCTCCGGAAAATGGGCATCGGGAATGATCTAGAAGTTATGGAAGACCGAGACAGATGGAGGCAAACTGTTGCATCAGCCAAATCCCTCCAGGGGCTGCAGCAATACGCAGTAATAGTAATATTGACACTTAAAACTTGAAGACAGGGTCAGACTTGAAGCTGAACTGTACTAAATCTGCAAGACTGAAAAATCGGATGTCTAATACGATTTATCTGGGGGTATAGGAACATAGCTTGACTGATTCCAAATAATTATTGCATTAATGAACCAATACATATATAGGGAGTTCGATTTTTTTAAAACAGATTACTAACTAATGAAGATCAGTACAGTGGTGTTCCAAACGTGCCTCTTTCGGCAGACTGCGCGGAGATCCAATAAGCCTTAAATCAAAATTATCCTAATTTGTAAGAGAACCAATTGCGACACATTAATACAGGGTGTTCCATTAAAAAAAACATAGGTTTGATATGCCACGAATTGTTCTGTTTCATCCAGGAACATCCTGTCTGACGGAAATAATTTTAATTACCTATTGATGCCAATATCGCATAAAAAATAATTTCAAAATTATACTCGTTAGCCTTCTTCTTCCACTCTGTATAGTTTTGTTTAGTGTGCTCATGATGAAAGCACAAAATTGAAATTGTATCTAAATTGTTTTTGTTAAAAAGTGCGTACATCTTAAACTTTGAACCTGTAACTATTATGATAAAATAAAGTTCAATTGATGCAGACAAAACGAATTATTGGAGAAAATCTTCCTTTAAAAGCATCAAAATACCTACACACTATTAAAAGAACTTGTGATCAAGTGAATTATAAACATCCAAAAACAGTAAACAAAAACAATAAACTTAATAATCTTAATCAGTTAAGAAAACACAAAAACAAACTCTAATGTACGAAAATATATGTTTGAATACTTTAAACTAACTTTAACACATTTAGTAGCTTGTGTAGGTAGCAGCAGAGCAGGCCCTTTAAATTTGTAAGCAAAGGCACTTAAAATAAAGCAAAGATAAGTGCCAAAACTGAATTAATTCATATCTTTAGACAAGGCGTATTGTTCACAGTTGACAAGGGAATTCAGTTGCCAGAATGATTAGAGAATCTAATCGATGAAATATGTTGTGATAAGAAGTTGGCACCCAAATTTCAGAGGGTTTAAAAAGGTTTAAACCTGACATAACCTATCTTCTCATTGGAACATTTGCATACTGCTGCTATCCGATAAAAGCAAAACAACTACTGCTCTCATCTGCTCTACTAATCGTTCAGAAGGCTGGGCTAAAAATAGTCTATAAGTACCTATCAAACATATTGCTATAATTTCCAGTTCCCAGAATTTAAAAAATTCATCGAATCATGAACTTGTGTTTCAGTGTGATCTTTTTTAAAATGTATGTACACAGAAAAACGGGACACTATTTACCAAAACATACGTGAAACCAATAGATGAACTACACATAGTGTGATTATCTGAAAATAGGTTTTAGGTGTGTATGTGTATCTCCGCAGTCTATCATTCTTGGAAGTGGTATTACTAGCAACTTACTAAGAACTTCATTACTGGATTGCTTGAATTTCCAGGAATCATTTTCGCAATTATTTAATATGTCAATGTTCGAATTGGAATCGGGAGAATGCTGATCGAACAACATTTTCCACACAGCCACAAAACACTCTTCAATTAATCAAACAATTAATTCTCAACGGTGTAACCTAACAAAGTGATTGGTGCGCACTGGAACAAAACACGTAAACATGGCTTTTACATAGGAAATACCAACCTTAATGACTCAGAACCAGTATAAGCCAGAATGGAGAAATCCGGTAGTTCCCCTTTTCCATACATAGGACTAGTGCAGGGGTATGGGACGCAAGGAAATCACTCGGAAAGTCCCCGACATTACAGTCGGTACGTGCCAACTGCGCAAAAAAACCACATCGCTGGGATTGTCCTTCAATTTTATCTTATCTCAGCTAACACATTGAATTGCTAGGGAGTTTTAAGAATTAATCGAAAGCACTATCATTCAATATTTACGAAAATTTCAAGATATAATTGACATTCGACATCCCTCACATTTCAAAACGTACATCAGATACATGTATTGAAGGAGGAAAGAAACAAAAAATTGGTTAACGTGTGAGCATGGCCTCTAGGATCTAGGCGCTCCAAAACTAAAGAGGCGTGGCCAGTGGGCTACTGGCACGTTTCTTCTTTTTGTTTTATTTTAATAACAATAGTCAGTCCCAAGCAATTTGGCAGTGACGTCATTCTTTGCCATATTGAAGTCATATTGAAATTTATTCATGTCCAAGTGTGAGTTTGGTTCCAAAATGTTCTTTTATATTTGGTATGGTTGTGAGCTTGCGCGTTTATTCCCCTGATTTGAAAAAAAATATTTTGGTTGAATCAGATATTGTTATAGCACGGTTAAATAAAACTTTTCGTAATTGTTACTTTGTTAATGTTAGGATTAACGCAAACTAACCCAAAGTAGCCCAACCTAACACAAGCTGATCCACATTGAACGAAACTAATAAAAAACACAAATAGCTACAAAATCAGCCTAAGAAAAACAGATAAACAGAACGATCCATATCTGGCAAAGTCTACTGTGCCAAAACGAAAGCTGATAATTAAATTCTAAACCTAGGGTCTCAAATGTGCTCTCTCTCAAAAATGCTCTAAGCTACACTTTCTGCGAAAAGAAAATATTATGGGGTTAATAACGTCATCGATAACTTTTTCCCCAAAAAAAATACCAATATTTTTTCACATAATGAGACCCTAAGCACAGCCTAACGATTATATATAATCTTTATGCTGTGCCCTAAGTCTAGAATTTAATTATCAGTTTTGGTTCTAGCACAGTAGACCTTGGGCGTCAAGTTTCGATCACTCTGTACACATTTTGCTATTTTTCCTGTACTCTCAAAACACCTTCAAAGGAATGACGACAATTTTGAATCACCCTGTAGTTATACTCACTAGCGCCAACTTTAAACTTCAAATATCTCAACAGAGATACATACAGAGATAGAGATACTTGATGACAGATACAATCACAAAATATCCCCCCTGGGGGTATGTTCTGTGGATCATAGATGAAGACAAGTATGTGGATCATAGAGAAAGTAAAATAATTATTTTACTTACTCTATGATGTGGATACAATCTCAAGGAAGAATGGATGCTGGGAGAGAGACTTGGTGCGATAAGCCTTGTTCTATGGGTGCGACAAACAAACCTTTTTTCCATAAAAAATGTATTGAAATACAAATCTGCTCATTAATTGTTGTTATAACTGAGCGATAAAGATAATATTTGCTTAAAGTGGATTTGCATATGCTGATGATTCTTCAATGCACATAGAAAATATTTTAATGTATCTCCCGAAAGTAGTAGGATTTTGTATACATATTTTACAGACACTCAGCACATAAGCAAAGAACCACATTAATGTAATTACCTCGAATTATAAAATTGATTCTTCCTCAAATTATCAACTTGTCAACTTGGAATGTCAGTGAAAACAACAAATATAACCTCACTTCTCATAGCGATCAAAACAAAAGATATTTAATTTGAACATTTATATTTGCCTTTATTATTAATTTATCGTATCGAATTTAGTGAAACTTGAGCCGTTCATTGTTCAGCTAGTTCACCAGTTACAAGATGTCGAGTGCCCTGATTACAGCAAATTGGTTTCTATTGGGACGAGATTTGTATTTCAGGTAGGTATATTTGTTAACATATTTAATATTTCGGATTGTTTAAGTAGGTTGTTAATATATTTATATTTGTTTAATGTCTTAATCTCCTATGTCCGAAAAATGTAGTATAGTTTCAAATACTTAAATAGCAAATGATTTGTTTATTTATTTTCAAGTTTTCAGAAGTTTGATGAAAAAATAAGCCTCGATTTACTGTTAAAGGTCTGAATAGATACAGATATGTTTTCTATATGAGTGGTCAATTTTACATGTAGGTTAAATGTAGCTGTTCTGGCCTTTCTATACTTTAGCAGCGTTTTTCTGGCCCAAAAGTGGACAGTATTCTCATACATAAATATAATAAAATTGCTTATGATTCAGTCAGTTTGTAAATGGACAACGTTGCTCGAAGAATAATCACGCGAATTGTACCTACTATGCAAGTAGTGTTACACCAATCGATAAATATACTTTGTTTTACGAAAGAAATGACATATAATTTTATAGGTGGTTACTTAACTTTTAACATATTTAATAATCCTCAGAAGGTTGGAAATCTATTCAATGGAATGGAACCAAGAAATTAAATTAGAAAACTTTATTGTGTCTTCTGCATCATACGGAGGTCCCTTGGCGTTACGGCGAGATGATCGCAAGATTACCAAAGTTCGTGGCCCTGGACAGCCAGTGATTTCCATATTCTCTGGATCTGGCATGACAGTAACTTCATTTAAAGTAAGTTGTTGCCCAAATTTCGATTTGTCTAAATGGTCGTAAAATATGTTGCTTTGAAAACGATCCAACAAATAGGTAATCTTCCCAGGAAACAGAGTGTTTTCCTCTGTGCTTTGCATTTTTCATTGACCAAGTTGAGCTTTTTATAATCGCATTAACTCCATAACTGTGTGTGATTCACATTAGCTCGAAAAAAAAAACCGGTTTGTGATGGTTTATTAAAGATATGCTTTTTGCTAAATAAAAACTTTTTTATCTCATTTATATTCGATACCCAGCTTTCAACATTTTACAACATTTCCCACCGAACCCGTTCGGATGAAAGCGAAGAAAGCTCTCGATACATTTATAAGAAAATATTTTGCTAGTTCATCCCAGTTAATTAGACGTTAGAATACAGCTTATCTCTAGTACCCTAAGAATTGCGGTTGGGCGATTTTTCGAACCGTTTAGATAAGACTAGCTTTAATTGATGTTTTTAAGTGAGTCAGTTTAAATTGAAGAGTAAAGTTTAATTAATTCCGGGGATTACCAATAACTATCATAAGGTTATAAGGTGAAGATTGGCAGATATAAAAACATAAGCTGTAACATTTAATTAAAGCGCTATTTAATGAAGAAAATTAAATGAGTAACGTGTATTTCAGTGGACGCAAAGACCTATCGTCCATATGGGTTGGTCGAACGAGGAAAAACTGATTTGCATCCAGGATGATGGGAATGTAGTCGTTTTCAACATGTTCGGGAAATTATTTCATAAATTCAATATTTTTCCAAAAGTACACGACGCTAAAATTGTTGATGCCAAAGTATTCACCAACACTAAAAACGTCACTGGAATTGCTGTAATGACTTCGAATTTCAACATATTTATCGTTAATAGCATAAAGGATATCAAAACCAGGCAGCTTAGCGATGTACCAAGTAAGACACAAAAAATAGATAATTAAAATATGGTTATTACAATACAAAATCCTTACTTTTAGCAATGTAATTAATCGGAATATTCCTCTGCTTTATGTGTTTAATCCATTTTATTTACACCATGACTAATACACGTAGTGCAAAACAGGATATTACAGTCGTGATAAGCCGATGATTTTAGGTTTACAATTGTACAATGTAGCAGTTATATTTTTAGAAATCTTAAAAAGTAACAATACTACCGCTGTACTGAGATGATCGTAAAAATTATTCCTTGAAAAATACGTGCAAATTGCATAATTCATTTTAAAGTTACTAAAATGTTTACTACCCTATAGTGAATATGCACCCGATGATTTAGATGTAATTTTGATATTTTTAGGAATAGAACAGGGTAAAATGATTTAAAATTTATTATTTAAATAGAGAATCCAATTGACGCGAAATTCGAAAAATATTATAAATCCTATTTTATTCTCAAAGCTCAACTTCGAAAATTTATTTTTTTGTGAATTTAAATGAATTTAAGCGATTGAGGTGCCACACTGTTGCGAATCGTATTAAAAGCTTCAACTTTAATCTCGTAAAACTGTACGTGTTTACTCATAAAGCTTCAGGTTCTTTTAAAAAATAATCTTAAATCTGCTTTATTGATTCCCGAATTTATCAAGATTACCGTGGATCAGCCTGCATATGGAATATTGAATAAAGTGCTCAAATACTAATTACTAAGTATTCAATTTGAGAGTAATTGCTAAAGAATAATAGGAATTGCATTCAAGATGAAATCTGAATCGATTCGTACAGGTTCAAAAAACTGTCAAATTGTGGTCGGTAAAGATTGATTGAAAAACATTATTGGTTTTCAGAATCAACAGTAGAACCAACATGTTGGGAGGTGGTTTCCGAAGAATTCTCTACCGATGTGTTTTTTGCAAGAGGAAAGGAGTTGTATCGACTGAAGCAAGATGAGCACCATACCAGTGCGATGGTATTTAAATCTATTTTCTAAACAATTAGACTTAAATTATGAGATAAAAAACTTCATTTCAGTTACAACCAGATATTTCTAATCCTTACTCTGCAATCCTAGAAATGGCCGTTTCGTTAAATGCTCGTCATTTATGCTTCTTCACCGATTCCGGCCATCTTTGGTTGGGATCTACCGATCTACGCCATAAATACTGCGAAATTGAGACGTATACAATCCATAGGCCCAAGCAACTTGTATGGTAAGTTTATCTTATTTAAACTGGAATTATATAAAAACTTTGCATATTCTTTGAAGGTGTGGGAATGAAACAGTTGTAGTTTATTGGGAGCAGGATCATACGGTTTTGATAGTTGCAAAAAATGGCCAATTCGTACAAGACACATATGACCATGCTGTTCATTTACTTGCTGAAATTGATGGTGTTAGGATTATATCAAGCGCTCGTCACGAGCTGTTGCAAAAAGTTCCCGAAGTGGTTCAAAAGATCTTTCGTATCAACAGTACTGAACCGGGAAGTTTCCTTCTGGAAGCATCTAAACAGTTCCAGAAAGGCAGTCACAAAGCGAACGAGTATATAACTTTGATCAAAAGCAAAAGTAGTCTTGAAGATGCGGTCAACCAATGCCTGGACGCTGTAAAATATGAATTTGATACGGATATTCAGAAAATGTTAATCCGAGCTGCACAGTTCGGCAAATGCTTTATTTCTGGCATGAATTCCCACAAATACGTAAAAATGTGTTGTCTGCTCCGAGTATTGAACGCCATTCGCCATTTTAAAGTTGGAATTTCTCTTACTATTGAGCAGTATCCTTTTTTTAATTCTGGCTAAAAATATATTCCAAATATATAATAATTTCCTTAATGTAAGCGTAGACTAAAATACATGAAGCTGCGGGAGTCTCCAAGTGCGGACGAGAATGAGGCTTTGAAAAATTTACTGGACCGGCTAATAGTCAGAAATATGTATTATTTGGCCCTGCAGATAGCAAAGTGTTTGAAACTTCCCGAAAGTGTAGGCAGTAGTTATATTATGGTACATTGGGCAAAATATAAAGTGAGTCAAGTTCAATCAAAACTTATGGTAGAAAAAAAAACAAGTACCGTATAAGTCTATATTGTTTAAAATGCGTCATTTTTGTTAAATAGTTGCGATATTCACAGTCAAATCACACTAGACTTATTAAATTTCCGAACTAAAACCATGGCAAAAAATGTTGCACAAATGTATATTTAAGCCAATATCATTGCAAACAGGTTGGACAACACCAAGCAGATGAAGAAATTGTAGCCCGGGAAATAGCTTCAAAACTCGGCTATTCATCAGGTGTTTCATACAGAGAAATTGCGGAAAAAGCTTCAGAATTTGGAAAAAATAAGTTGGCGATAAAGGTATCTGTTTAATTAAGATGTCATTGAAGTTTAGTTTTTGATTGTAAAATTTAGCTGCTAGAGTATGAGTCCAAAGCAAGTGAACAAGTCGAACTGCTGTTGAAATTGCACGAGAATAAATCGGCTCTACACAACGCAATTGAAAGTGGTGACACTGATTTGATCTACATGGTCGTGTTGAAGTTGCGAGAGAAAATGCCGCTGGGTGATTTTAAGGTATTAAACTAGATTTAATACTAAATTGTGAAATTTATTAAATTTTTCATTCAACAAACATGTGCCAAAGCATATTTTAATTGAAATAATGCATTAAAACTTGGGACTTTTTTACAGATGACTATTCGTAACTTTCCAGTAGCACAAGCGCTTTACATCAAATATTGCAAGGAATATTACAAATCGGCTCTTGCGGAAATTTATATTCAAGAAGACGATTTTCCATCTCAAGCTCAAATGATTATAGAAGAAAGTCTGAGCGATAAAGTACATAATCAAGTTATGGCTCTTACTTTTGTTACATTATTTTGTTTGTTTTTGCAGAATTCCCATTTACGAGATTCTCAATTGACCGTCGCTATAGAGGCGTATAACAAGGGCAGAAAAGATTTGTACGCCAGTATGTGCGAGGAAACTTTGAAGCTTTCAAAATTTCAAAGAGAATTAGAAGAAAAATTCCAGTCAGAAAATAAGTTCGTGGGAAAATCTGTGCATGATACATGCAAAATATTGTTGGAGATGAAAGACGTCAAATTGGCCGAGAAAGTAAAGAACGATTTTAAAATACCCGACAAAAGGTGCCGATATTCAGAGCTAAATGTTTTAACATCATTTTATATTATTTGATAATTGTCAGATATTGGTTTCTGCGAATAAATACACTGGCAGCTCTAAAGGAATGGATTGAATTGGACAAATTTGCTAAACTGAAGAAGTCACCAGTTGGTTATGGACCGTTCGTAGACGCGTGCTGGGCTAATCACAATAAGGATGAGGCCCTTAAGTACATGCAAAAAGTTCCTGATGATCTTAAGGCGAAGTATTATTTGAAAATCGAGTAAGTTTTTTGATCAACCTACTTCTTGGTTTAGCAGTACCTGATATAAAGTGGTAGTAGCGTAAAGTACAATCATACGATCCAACTTGAGCCAGCATAAAAACTAAATCTGGGTCTGGGTAAACAGTCGGGGCATTCTTTGTGAATAATGGGCGTGCGAAATATATTTTAAAAAACGTGTTTTTATAAGTGATCATTTAATTAACTGATCTGAACATATTTGGTTCATTGTTTATTTATCCATTATCTTAATTTTTTTAAGTTACGGATGTCCAAAGTTACGTTTATTTATTCATGACTATCAGAGTATTCACAACATGAATGATTGAATGAAAATGCCATCTTTACGGTCTAATAATAATAACAATGATAATAATGACACAGCCAGCTTAAAAATACTGTGTGAACACTCAATATATCCGCGAAAAAAGGTTGTTTCTTGGAATGGAAATTAATCTAAATAAGGCACCCAGCAATATGGCCTATAACAGTTTTTTATTTTGGATTTCATCAACAATCTAAAAAAATATGGGCAAATTTAATTACTTTTTGACAAAATAACGGTTGGAGGAAGCACCTAAATGCTGATTAGCCTCAATGAAGTTAACGTATAACTAATTCCAATTTAGAATGGTTGTATTTATAATACAAAAGAAATGGTTCAGTATTAAATAATTGTTTACTTTAAGTCACTGCTTACATTGAAACCACTGACTTATCTGATTTAAGTGTTTTTCGATATTGGATTTGTATATGGAGTGCATTGCCCAAGGATTTTCACCATTATCTTTTAAAAACTATTTATATTTCTAGAGAAGTAACTAATATTTTTAGTTGAAACAGGCACAACCCAAATAATGCGGGAATTTTTTGTTGCTATTTTTTGCAAGATTTGGGCCAGAGATACAGATAGTCCGAAATTGTCCAGATATTGCAAGAAATTTAATAACGCTACTGCAAAATAAAGCTTTTCGTATTACCTATCTAAAATCTATCTGGTAAGGATCAAACAGTATAAATTCAAGTATTTTTTAAATATTTATCTTCTAAATACTTTTAATGCCGTAAATCGACAGCAAATAATCAGATCTTCACAAAGTCTGCTTTCAATCTAATCAAAATTTGTTGATATCATTTTATATCTGGGCATGCAAAGTCTAAAGTGTAACTGCTTAATTTTAAGCTGAGTAATAACGAAATTTCATCGATTACAAAGCAAGCTGCAACTGGAAAAATTGTTTTTCTGTCTCATCATGTCTAGCTAAACGTTCTTATGAATTGTTCGTGTACAGCATCAAACATTTACGTAACGGACTTTATTACCAAACAATAGTAGTATACAGGGTGTCCCGTCAGCTCATGATCAAAAGGGTACTGCGATATTCTTTGGAGCAAAAGAAGACGATCTGACCTAACTTTTATTAACAAACAATGTCTGTCTCTTCTGCTATTGATGGTCAAAGTTCTTCAAAAAATTTATCTTTTTCTAAATATCGGGAGAATGGTTCCATGTATTTTAGTAAAACTCGCTGTGAATTTGCTCTTATGTAAGACTCATATTTTGATGAAACAATCGAGCTCAGCCGTTTTGGACAAGTGGTGAATTCTTGAGTGTCATGGTACAAAAACTACCAGAACTTTTTAGTTGGAGGATGAACTCAACTATTTTTTTTTAGGTTGATACACTAATCATTTATTCTCAATTTTGTGCTCTTTGTAAAATCTTGTAGCATTCATAGTTTTTGCGAAAAAAATATTTCTGTTTCCTTGCCACTTAACAATGTTAGACATTAACAGCAAATATCGTGATACGAGGCATAAAATCATTGTCAATCAATCTCACAAATTCGTTTTGAATGACTTTTTCTAATGAAGAAGTGACCGACATGGTCAAAGTATGAGGGTTTTGCGAAGACAATTTGCGCGGCGCATATTTGCAGTAAATGTCTAGCATTGCTAGTGACTAGAAAACAGACATATTTTTTTTACGCAAAAACTATGAATGCTACAAAATTGTGAATAAATGATTAGTGCATCAACCTAAAAAAATGAATTGGTTTCATCCTCCAACTAAAAAGTTCTGGTAGTTTTTGTACCACGACACTCAAGAATTCACCACTTGTCCAAAACGGCTGAACTCGATTGTTCCATCAAAATATGAGTCTTACATAAGAACAAATTCACAGTGAGTTTCACTAAAATACACCGTAGCATTCTCCCGATATTTGGAAAAAGATAAATATTTTTCGCTAATAAAAGTTTGGGCAGATCGTCTTCTTTTGGTTCAAAGAATATCGCAGTACCCTTTTGATCATGAGCTTACGGGACACCCTGTATGATGTTAAAGAAACGAATGGTGTTAGTATTAAAAACCAAATAATTTATAGACTATAATTAAAAATTGTGTATCAAATGGACAATAAATAAGAGGTAGATTAAAGTAAGCATAATAAAAATGTGTCATATGTATGTTTTCGTTGCAGTTTAGCACTTGGCACGAAAAATGTGTAGATCAAATTTAACCGAAATACAAACAAATTATTTGATTTTTGGAAAAAAACTTAGGAGAATGATTTGCTAAGGTGGAAGTATAGAACATAAAAAATCATCTACGTACGGAAAAAAATTGGCGAAAATCTCATAAAACCAGATTAGATATTTGCAAGAACTTAACTATGCAGAAATGCAGGGTGTTTCGGGAGGAAAGGAAAATATTTGGGAATGCGTTCAGAAGCTCAAAATAACATAAATGAACCCATATGGTTTATTCCGATTCTGAAATAATCGCTTCTCAAGTGTTTTGTAAATATTCTTTATTTTAAAAGTAATAAAAGCTGTAGCACGCTTGTAAACGACTTGTACGTTGAATTGCTTGGCTATTGTTTCTAATTATATTTGCAGCATTGAAAATTCGACTGGTCTCTAACACCCATATTTTCATGAAAAAATCGAGTTCATCCGTTTTGGACAAATGGTGAATTTTTTAGTGTCGTGGTACAAAAACTACCCGAACTTGATTGATTTGATGGAGTAAATCAACTCATTTTTTTTGTTGATGCACTAATCATTTATTCACAATTTTGTGCTCTTTGTAAAATCTTGGAGCATTTATAGTTTATGCACAAACAAATTATTTCTGTTTTCTTGCCACTTAACAATGCTAGACATTAACTGCAAATATCGTGATAAGCGAGGCAATAAATGCGTTCAATATTAGCCTTTCCATATTTTTTAGTATTTAACTACTTTAAATAGACTGTCTATATTCATTCTTACTTGTGAAATTTAATTATACACATTTTTAGGTGTTACAGTGAGGCAGCAGAGATAGCATTCCAGCAACGAGACATTCAAAGCTTATTAAGTGTCCAGTGTCGACTGGCCAAGAAAAATCCGGAACTACTCCTGAAAGTGACGGGGATGTTGAATCAGTTGGATTATAAAAATTAAAGTATAATCGGACATTTCTCGAAACTGTACTTTATAAAACCATTGTACGTGTGATATGTTATTTGAACTGTTATATAAATAAACACTTATATCTATTATCTTTGTACTTAATGCTTCAAAAATAAAAGTATGAAGTAACTGATAAGGATATTCCTAGTAAAATTTGTTCAAGTGTCTTGTCTTGCACTTGAGTAGGAGTATTAGGGATAAATATTAACAACAGAATTTTAGGTTTTGGTCAGTGCAAAGTACCTTAAAGTACCTCCATTAAAGAATTTAGATGTTTTTATTATTATATTTCGATATTGCGGTCTATGCAAGGAAGCAGTCAGTTTTTTAAATACTGGCTTAATGGCTCAATGGCGATATGATTATGGATAGTGTAATTAAGACGACATAGGAATAAGATAAGCTTATAGTTGAGTAGATAAGTGAGTAATCAAATAATATTTATTTTTAAAAGTTGTTGGAATAATGCGTCAGCGTTCGTATCAATGTACTACCTTATGTGCATTCAGGGTGAAGTTGGAATATGGGGGCGAACTCAGACTGTTGGTTTCGCAGTAAAAACATCAGAAAATTGGTCAATATTTTCGTCAAGGTCATTTGATGCACTGCTTAAAAAAGTACCCAACACTCATATTGTCGTTAGAAGTGTACTTTTTCGCTAGATAAATTCGCAGCAGGAGGATTTTAGGAATTGTATCTTTTTCTAGGGATTTGAAAACTATAAAAGAGACTGTTGTACGCAAGAGAATACTAAAAAGAAAAAATCAAAATGAGTTATTTCTTCTGATGTGCTCTATTATTTGTAAACGCATGGCAATTTAATTAGAAAATATTGTTTTATGTCTTAAATAATTGCGCTTTTGTAAAAAGTGAATTTATAGAGGTGAAGGCGGACGCCATGGTTAGGCAGTATAAAAATAAAATCGGTATTAATTTTAGGAACTACAATGGCAGAAAAAGTTTAAGTTAATTTTAAGCTTAAGACTGCTGTGAATTATAAAATTCCAAAATCCACCTTCCACGATAAGAAAAAAATAATCAAAACAAATAAACATGTCGGACAGTGCCTAACTTCATAAGAAGAAGATAAACTTTATAAGAATAAGAATACGCCTCTTACTAGGTGCTAAGACCATTTTTAATGCTTAATAAATGGTCTTCCGCCTTTACTCCGCATATTGTAGAGCGGGGAAGGCCGACACCCTTTATCTAAAAAAAAATTAGGGGGAATGAAAAATGTATTTGTTTTATTATGTAATTCGACAAAGGAGATATGGAATACTTTAAATTATTTTGTTCAAAATTGTCTTCAAAATTATATCTTTTATTAAGAAAAAAATGAAAAAATCGTCCGACCACCCAGAACGACGGTACTTTTGAGCAAATACATCTAAAAAATATTTTCTGTAATTTTTTTATTACATTACAAAAACAATTTTGCAAAAATTCTGGACGGTTTTTGAAATATTGCTGAAAACAAAAATTATACTCTTTAACGTAAAAGATGTAATAATTGAAGCAAAAATGTGCACAACTTTTATTTTTCGTATCTGAATACTAGATAATATAACATCTTTAAAAAAACGAGCATTTCTTGCTATTCAATTAATTTTTCTTAACTTTATAAAGAAAGTGAACTGAAAAGTTTAGATGTCTATCTACTAAGATGTTGAAAATGAATGTTTATAATAAAATATATTATACCTACTAAGTATATGCAAGAATAACTTTCGCACATAGCACTTTACCATTTTGGATCTGAACTGAAAAAAACATCTTTTGGAATAAGATAACTTTGAAAGAAAATGCACACTTGGTACTGAAGTGGTCACCAAGTAAATAAAAATGACTCAATTTCCCAATTTCTAAGGACACAAGTATTATCAGAATGTAATTTCCAATACATTATCGAACTATACAGGGATTAGTTAAGCAAACAATAAAAACATACAAGATTTGACAGACTGATTTGTTTGAATAGATAAGATAATATAACTTAATATAAAGGGAACAGGAAATTTATTAGAACAGTTAGTAAAATATTCATAGTGATTTAGTGACAAATACAAATATGGCCGGTAAGGTTTTTGCTGATATGTACTATAGGAATCTAAGCGGATTAAAGTAAAATAAAATGCTTAAATATTTATGTAGGATTTTTATATTCAAGGTATTTCATGAGGAAACGGCATTATTTTAGCCACGTACTCTAGGGGCGAAAACAACCCTAGTTTTCTATATAAACGATTGCCCAAAGATGCTTCGTTACGGATTTACAGGGTGTTGAAATTTAATTTAAAAAATGCAAACTGATAAGTTTCTTCAAATCGCATGGAGCTATTTTAAGAAAATTTTCCAGGGACCAATAGCTATTAAAAACGTATGTTGTGCAATAAATAATTTTGTTAATTTTTGCCAGTTTTGCCGCGCTACCGAATTTATGTTCCTGAGTGCTTGAGTAAGTTGATATAATTTGTTGCTCAGACAAGGGGAGTAGTTTAAACCAAATAGATTATTCAAAAATAGGAATTATTTACCAAAGAACCGGTCCTGAGACGCTTAAACTTTGCAAAGTTTTGAAGTGATAACTTTTTATGGGAGGGTGAACCGATTTTTCTCGGTCACGGCGGCTCCCACTCCGCCCTCTTCGCGCCTGAGGCTTGGTACGCACATATGCACTTTGAATTCGACATTTTTCTCTTAGTGCGGGTGCATCTGTAGATCTGATAAACTTTTCAAATATACATTGCGTTATTAAACTGACAGTTATTTTGATTTATCAATTATTAAGTGTGATCTTATTGTGTTCGGTGCAGTTTATTTTATAACGCTGATAACAATGAATCAACAAGTTATCAAGGGAGAAGCTGCAGATACTGCAAATACTAGGTGAAGGGTGCTCATGTACTAAATGCCTGTTCGAGTTTCGCCTTCTTTTAAATTTCCAATTAAAATACACGCACAATTATACACACTAAAGCAGTTTAAGTGCAAACAAATGCGGATCGTCGATCAATTTGCAGAAAAATGTATTACAAACTTTTGAAAATTTTCAAACGACCGGGTATTTATCATTGCAAATGAGATTGCACATTGCCGTGCACTGTTAAATATTGTTTTAAGAACAACATTTAATCGATGTTGTGCAAAACTTGCTGTTGCAAAACTGTTGTTGAAAAACTGTTGGACCTATTTTAAATCGGCTGATTGATTGTGTACGCAAATTCGTATCAAGAGAAGTTTTAATGCAATAATATGTTCTATTATTTGTTATTATATTTTGTGACAACAAATTATCAATATTTAGATTTTGTAATCTTTCATATTTAACATAAAATGATAAACATCATTACTGTTTTGTAATAATATATAATAAATATGTTTTGAATTTAATTGAAAAAATAATTGAGTTTACCTCGATCATTTCAGAAAACATGGGTTCCGTCTTCTTATTTTCTATCCTGCAACGCATTCTTGATGTTAAGACGATACGAATCTCCCTTCAGCTTATAGTTGCAAAATATGTAAAACGAATTTATTAAGGGTTAGTTTCAATTCTCTATATTATTTCTATGATTAATTGTGTTTACCACGCATCAAAATGGATTTTTTTCCTTCATATACCATTTGATTCCTTTATGATTAAATCTTCTCAATTTAGTTTAATTTTTTTAGCCTTGGATTAGTTCAGTTAGAATTTTTTTTTTGAACATACGCGCGATGGCTTACATTATGTATACATATAGTGTGTCAAGTGTATCCTGTCTCTATAGCTCTTCCTCGTTTTACCGTCTATTTTAAACAGATAGAACGTCTTCCAATCACCCAAATTAATTTGATTTTTTAGTCCTATTCAGATACAAGTTGTAGCAGACGTTCATGAACAACATACACAAGAGCAGTCACAAAAACATGCTATAATGAGAAAAGTATTAAGTAATGCTGAACGCCAAAAACGGTTTTGTGCTAAAAAAGGAGCATTAAGTAATAGATCAACTGAAAGTAGCTTTCATCAACCACGAACTAGTGCTGAACGTCAAAGATTATACAAAGCAAATAAGAAATTACGACAAAAAAATACAGAAACTCTTGAAGAAGAGTTTACACAAACCCAAGAAGAACAATATGTACAACATCTCGTTAAAGAATGTTAAATGTTGCAAATAAAAAAGATATTTTACATTCAAACGGAAATTATATTAAATTTTACCTATTCCTGATCCATTTATAAATTATTAGACTAAGAAGAATACTAAAATTATAAAATAAAATTATTATTGCCATCATGCGTTAAACAAGTTCAATATGTTATGGTTGCTATTAATTTATGAAGTTATCACTTCTGTCGAGCGTCCCGTGACGCACACAATTTTTTTTTATTCATTATTGTTTTCTCAAACTGATTGAAGTATTACGTGCTCTAAAATTTCTTGCTTGAGTATTATAAATGTGTATATTCATATATTTAAAATCAAATGTAGATTTTCAGCTATTTAACATTAGATTAGTTGACTCTTTATGATCAGATCCATCGCATTTCCATTTCTTCACGAAACGATTCATGTTTATTTTTTATTTCTTACTATCATTATCAGCATCATTTTTCGATTCGTTCTAATCTACATCAACTGCGTTTTTACTGAGCAGACTTTTCGTCATTCTGATTTAAGTCACTTGTTTCAATAAAACTGTGATTATTGTCGTTTCAGCTTATTACTGGGTCGATACTCAAGCTCGAAGAGGAGTGGTACCTTCCACTGCCATTCAGGGTGGACACGATATTGATGGTGCCCCAATTTTCGTGGGCAGAGCTTTCCATGGCGGAGATTGGATTCCAGCTAAGGTGATTCCTTCAAAGCATATTGCCTATGTTCCATTTGATGGAAAGGAGATTGGTGTTCAACAGTTCCAAGTAAGTAGCAAATCGCATCGATGTAGAACATCGAAAAAAAACTTGACTTACTCATCAGAAAACGCAATAATTAATAATTATACACAAGACATAAAAGTGTAACAAATGTACAAAGAAGTTACTAGTAAAAATACTTCTGCTTTCTGTTTATCCGTTTTTTTTTTGGTTTCCACTAAAAATTATACATGCGAGTTTGGGTAATGTTAATTTTTAATTAACAGGTTTTATGCGAGCAACGTTTCGATTGGCAACCGGCACATGGAGGGCAAATTCCCAGTTACGCTGTAGTAGGAGGAAAAACCTCTGATGGCGAAAACTTATACATTGGCAGAGTTCATCATCGCGGATCTCACACTGTTGGCAAAGTAAGACTGATTTGAATTAAAAACAACTACATTATTAAATATTAGATAAGTTGCTAAACATTTTACAGAGCTCACTTTGCATTTGAAGAACAAACACCCGAAGCAAACGTGTTTCGTATGGGGCTGAGGAACCCAACGAACACTATAAGATTAAAAACAACATTTACGCATAAATATATCTACAACCCACATACACATGCAAAAAAATCGAAAAAATTGCGAAATCTTTCTATCTATCAATCTAAAGATCAATCATATCATGCTCTATTATTAGTAGTTATTTATTTATTATTTTTTTAGTAGATAAATTTCACATTTGTGTTTTTGTGAACTTTAAATCTACAATAGTGGAACTAAATAAAAGTTGGTAAAACGTTATGTTTTCTCAGATTCATCCAAGTCACAAAACTTGCTACATTCCCTTCGATGGCAAAGAGGTAGGACACAAAGACTACGAAGTTCTGGTGTTGAGACCTTAGGTCTACTGTGTTCTTTACTTGTACTTTGACTTTTTTTACTGAAAATAAACAGTTATACTTGATTTTTTGGTATTATTCTAAACATTTTCTAGTTATCTCTATACTTGTAAATGTTTGTTTAAAATTAGTGAGATCGATTATTAACAGCAGTAACTTTATGATAGTATAAAGGTAAACTCTATAACACAAAGTTTTTTGCGAGACTTTTTACCTAGATAAGTAAGTATACAATTCAAACAAATCAACAATTTTCGGTTCTATCATATCATAAATCATATTTTTTCGGTCGGTTCTCGGGTTAGCATATATAGATAGACATATTTAAGCTAAATAAATGTGTATATTGTTCATTTCTTCACTTTTTAATAATTATCGAATAATTATTTTTTATAAATAATGCCTAAAAAGACCAACAATGGTTCTTAAATGTTAAAAAGCAACAAACAAATGCACGTTTAATTTTTGCAAGTTTACTGAACTTGCTGTGTTCTATCTGATTAGATACAACATAATCAGTATGGGCCTTATTTTCCAGGAAATTTTATAACGGTTTATTACTGTCGCAGCAATTTAAGTATATATAGCTAGTCATCTATGAGCTAGTCGAGACAATCGTTTCTGCATAAAAACATGGCACGTAAGTACCGTCATTTTTTAACTTAAACATTGATGTTTTACTGTCGCAGTAAATTCAAAACTGATATTAAAAAATTAGAGCTAACATTATTTTCGTTCTCAAATTTTTCAATAACTGAAATTCGAAGTAAAGAGCCCAATTTCAGCCAAATGGATCATTTATAGATTAGATTGATTCATATTTTTAATTGTTTACTTAATTTTGTCATGGATTGCCCAACAGATGTCTTATTAACTTCTATATCTACATTGTTAACGCAAATATTTTAGAACAATTTGGCTAATAAGTTAACTGATGCTTTTTATTCAAAAATATATAATCTAAATAAAAAATAAAATTCATTTATTGCAATAAATACAACGCTTACAATACCTTCTATGTTTATTTTTTATTACTAAATTGTATTTGTTAGCATATCATTGGGTAACTATTACCACTCGAGGAGCTTCCTTTCCTTCCTCTGCTGTACCTGCTGGAACGGATATTGATGGAGCTCCCATTTATGTAGGACGAAGTTTTTTTAATGGAGACTGGCTTCCAGCCAAAGTGATACCTTCGAAGCATGTAGCTTACATTTCTTATGGAGGCAAAGAAATTTCCGTCGACAAATTTAAGGTTTTTATTTTATTTTTTCATATTTATCCATCTTCTGAATACCAATTTTGTAATAACGTTGGAAATTGCCGATTAAAAGCGCATTTACTCGGATTACGATGGATTATATTGTTTTCCAGTGAAAGTATATCAATAGATATTCCATCTGAAGTTGCATCATTGTCAGCATTTCACAAATACTCTATTTAGTTTTTTACTTGGATTTTATGAAATAAAACAACTTTATACGCAGTTAAGACTATCTCCAAGCAGAAACATTCATATGTAGTACCTACTTAAATATTCTTCACACTACAATACCTTCAAAAGGGATAAGTTTTTAAATAAACAAGTTTGATTAAAAAATAATGCAAAAAAGTAGCTAAATCAGCAATATTTTCAATATAACGTCAAAAGCATTTCACCGCTGCAAAGATAATCAATTAAAAACATTTACCTTCAAGTCGGTCGTTAAGCTGAATACTTAGATATCAATTAATAAAGTTTATTCCTTCGCACTCTGAACTGGTAATTACCACCCGTTAAAAATCCGTTTTTTCAGTTATAATTCATCCGATTACTGTTATTTTTTAACTGTTTTTATTGACTTTCTTTTTGAATTTGCGTGTAAGAATTTTGAAATCCGTCCTGGTTTTTATTTTTGAGGCCAAATTGAAATTCAAAACGTCCAAAATAGTATTCAAATAAGCAACAACTATACATTTTAAACGAAAAGTTAATTACAAAATAATACGTAACGGTGGACATAAAACACCTAATATTCACATTTATCGGGTTGTTTTTTTGTACGATTTACATGTTTGTTTCCTCTTTTTACAATAAAGAAAACTGGACAAACTACTTCATTTAATACGCCCTGATAAAATTGCGACTAGAAATAAAACATATTTTTACTACATGTTAAATATACAAGGTTCTTGTTATCAACGTATAAATATTCAAAACAGATGAAAATGCTTTTTATTAATGTGGTAAGCAAAGGTGCACAAGCAGAAAAAATTGACATTAAAATTATAAGAGCAGGTCCTCATTTTGAATTCTAGGTACTTTGTCTAGCTTTTATTTTCAATTATTTTTGTTCTTATAATTAGGAAATACATATCTATATTAATTCTACTGGTTACCATTTTTCACAATTCCGTTTTCTAAAATACACAAATGCTTGTCACAAATTTATCTTAATCCGCTTTGATTCCATCGATCTTGTATATCCCTGGTTCACTTAAAGTATTATATATATTTTCCTAACTAGGTTTATTTCTTTTCCCGAATAAATTTTACGTTAATTATAATTTTACTTTCTATTGTTTCAAAGTATTAATTCAATGTTTGGCAAATATGAAGTTAAACTTACTTAATAGTGTTTACGCTTTATTGTTGTTCACGTGAGTGTGTGTGTGTTTACAAATTTTCTGTTTTTTTTTTCTTCAGTTAGTACAACGGCCTAATTCAATATTGTCCATTTTTATGAACCTCTGAACTCTTGCTTTCCACATGTCATTATCATTTCAGCGCTAATCAGATCCCTAGTTTTTTCCTTTATATTTCTTATATTTTTTATTTCTGAAATATTACTTTTCATCAATTTAATGCTGAATAATTAATATTGCAAATTTTCTATTCAATTATTTTTTCCCAATCTGACTCTGCTACACAAGTGTATTTCTTTTATGTGAATTCGAGTTAAACTCTAGGAATACCAATTATATTTTCATTAGTGTAGTTTCAATGTTTTTTACGTTCCTGGTAATTCAACAGGTCAACTCCCTCTGATGATACCAGCACTTAAAGCTGGCGAGACGTCGGCCGGCGATATTCTTGAATCTGAAAAAACTCAAATTTAATCCATTGTAGTTTATCTATAGAACAGTTTTGAGAATTGGTATCTTTCTTACATAATAAAAAGTTTGTCTTGACATTGCTAAATAGCTTCTGTTGATTGCTAAAAAAACATTGTCCATAGGTTCTTTGTGAACAGCGCTTTGAATGGATTCCAGCAGAAGATGGACATGTACCTGTACATTCAGTGGTAGGAGGAAAGACTGCGAGTGGAGAAGAATTGTTCATTGGACGGGTCCGACATCAGGGATCCCAAACGGTGGGAAAAGTAAGCAAAGCGATAAAAACCTTTTTATCGAAAAAATTATGCAATTGATGTTAATATTGTGAACATTTTGCAGGTACATCCAAGCCACAAAACATGCTACATCGCGTTTGGTGGGAAGGAAATTGCATACAAGCAATACGAGGTTCTTGTCCTACAGAAACCTTAAGGCTTATCAAATTCATTATTTATACCTTTCAAGTTTTATAAAAAGTCATAGCTGCTCGAAAACGCTGTTTATTTCTAAATCAATAAATTAATTCCCAATTTCACTTCTTTTAATTTGTCAACTAACTGATTATCGTTAACTTATATAAAAGTAACTATTTAAAAAAACAATAAAAAATTGTGGCAGTTATTGTTTAATCAGCGTCATCTCCCACATGTGTACGAATTAGGGTTTGTCGGTTTTTAAAAACCGGTTTTAAAAACCTGGTTTTTGGAGAAAATTATGAAATTCGAAAACCGGTTTGTAGTAGAAAATGTCGGTTTTCAACGTATGAATAACACTTTAAAAAACTTGAAAATGACAAATGTAGCCAAATGTAAAGATTCAGAGGTGTTCTGTGCAAATGTACCAGAGTGATGAAAACACTGTTTATGAATGAAAACACATGATTGGGTCTTGGAATCATATCAGTCCGATATGATTTCAAGAAACGGTGTGTTTTGTCTATTGGATGAATTAATTTAGATTTTATATCAGTTTTCTGTCTTCTGGTTTCTTTATGTACAGTTCATAAATTCAGGGTTCAGTGCATTGATCGATATTTGATATAGATGATATTATACAAAATGTAAGTAGGTAACATATTTTAATATTATAAAAATATAAATTTGTATTTTTTTTTTCTTGTTTTTGTAGTCCTAACTGTCAGACGTGTGGAATTATTTCAAAAAAGGAGAAAAAGAAAAAGCCCGTTGTATTTATTGCAATAAAATGCTTACTTGCAAAGAATCAAGCACAAGCAGTTTACATAATCATTTGAAAACAGTGCACGATGAAATAACCGAGAAAAAATCATCTGATGCCGGCCCGAGTTCACAAACAACATTCTTAACTTTTGTTAAATTTGTGAAAAGGACTAGTTTAGAAGAAATTGTATCAAAGGTTGCTGTATTGGATGGACTATTTATTAATTGCATAGCAAATAGCTCATTCATACGAGTGCCATTGCAACAACGAAATTATTGCTTTCGACAAAATAATTCTAGAGTTATGAATCTTATTTATAAGTTTTATGAAACTATAAAAAATGAAACTATAATTGAATTAAATTATATGAAGAATAAAGGGCAAATATTTTCAAAAACTATAAATGAATGTACTAGTAAAGGAAATCGAAGATATTTAAATATTAGCGTACATCAACTTGAAAAAGATTTTAATTTAGGATTAGCTCCGATGTCAAGTACTTGCGATGCTGAAACGATGTTAAAACTCGTTTCTGAGAAACTAAAAACTTACTTAAAGTTTTAAAGTTCCGATAAAATTAGCAGCCGAAGCTTTAGGTAGACAAGACTCAAATTTATTAACAAGTGAAGGTATATTTGAACTTTTTCTCGATGAAGTACAAAATTTGAAATCCGAAATTAGTCAGAAATTATTACACGCGATAAAGGCACGGATTAAAGATAGAAGAGATACAGTATTAGTTACACTTAATCTTTATTTACAAAATTCTGAAACTGTTTTAACTAAATCTTCTAATAAATTCCTTCCATTAGCAACGAAAAGTAACATTATTAAGTTATCCGGACAAATATTATCAAGATTATATAAAGATTACTCTACAGGGGAAGAATGTTATATTCAAAAACGTGATGAAAGCGATATTCAAGAGCCAGACAATGTTTTATTGAAAAATGCTATGTAAGTGACAATTAATAAATATTTGAAGGAACCGGAAGAAGTGACTACCTCTACTCAAACTCTAAGAAAAGAGTTTTTGACCCTAGAAGGTACAAATAAAATGATAAAAAATCAGAATTATTATATCAGGCTTTAAAATCGATTAAGCCTAGTTCGGATGCAAGTGAGAGGGTATTTTCTATTTCGGGGACGTTTGTGAATGAACTAAGGACACGGCTAAATAGCAAATCGATAGACGTCATCTGTTTTCTGAAATCATATTTCATTAAAGAAAAAAAAAATAGAATATTTAAATTTGTATTAAAATTGCCCGGAACAGAAAATACTCGGTCCGTTGCTTAATTGTCTTTGCTAAAAAACTAAAATTGATTTTATTAAGTATGTATGGAGAAACTTTATTTACTATTTGTCTTTCGGCTTTGATTATAATTTACAATATAGAATAATACACAGTTATATATTTTCTAATTGTTTTTAATCCAGTTAAGTATCCATCTTTATCTAATAACATTGTTTTTTTTTAAATAGTATGGTTATTATACAAATGTGAAAATATATAGTTTTTATTTATTCGAACACTTTGCTGAATAACTCGTTTCACTATTATAAAAATATTTACATCTTATATGTGAAAGTTATGGATAAACAACGAAAAATTGTTTTTAAACTTAAACCTGGTAAACTATTATTTCTTTGTTCTACTAAATTCCATAAAAAGTTTTACTATCAATAAAATTGAGCAGTAAATAATTTCAGTCAAAAACTGCTTTTAATCACTCTAAATTTTTTGTTCAAATTACAGAATATTCGAGCAAAGAGTCTTAAACCGAGCTTCGTGGTGATAAGACGTGTTTGCATATTTAAAGCAAAGTTGTTTACACATCGCGCAAAGAATTTGAATAATTCTTCAAATATAAACAACCGCATTTATCGTTCAACGAGAATATACGAGTGGAATTCAAACGAAAGGATGAACCCTGGGAGTTCGCAAGAATCCGAATCGGATTATGCCTCCCAGGATGGTGGGTTCAAAAAGCCACAATCGAAAAAACGGGGCAGAAAAACGAAGACGACCCAGCCAACCCAGCCAACCCCCACAACCCCCACAACGCCAACACCTGAGGCCAAACGAATAGCTTTGGACTATCAGTCTACAACCAACAAAAACCAAACAACAAACAGCAAGACAACATCAACAAGATTTCCCACGTATTCGCACACATTCACAGCGAACGCATTGTCGACCATCACCAGAGTCCAACTTGCAATCAGGTGGGAGGAACTCAACCCCAACAACAAGGATGTGATTATCAGACAAGATAATTACTTCCTAATCAAAACCAACCAGGAGGACAAAACATCAAAAATTTTACAACAACTAAAACAAGAAAACGCTGTAACAAGTT